CCTTTTGGACTTTTTGTGTAAAAAGGGAAATGAATCAATCCATTTTGGTAAATATTGCCTACTAGAAAGTAGATCAGTTGGGTGCCATTCTAGAGTGAATATCTTGAACAATTTCTGTTATGTACCGGTAACTGACAGACGAAAAATCATTCTTATTTTTCTTCTCTTTTGTCTTCTGCTATTTTGGGGGTTTTCCTTTGGTGTTTTCTCTTTCTCTCCTTGCTTTTGTTTTTACTTAGAGGAATTTCTCTTACTGTATTATGAAAAGGCTTTAACAAAACCTTTTTAATGAAAACAACTCACGGAATATCAGCAACTAAAAACTAAACAGGCATCCATGCTCAGCAAGTACGATAAATTGCTACTCTGTTGTTGTTGAGTCGTTTAGTCGTGTCCGCCTCTTTGTGACCCCCTGGACCAGAGCACGCCAGGCCCTCCTGTCTTCCACTGCCTCCCGCAGTTTGGTCAAACTCATGCTGGTAGCTTCGAGAACACTGTCCCACCATCTCGTCATCCCCTTCTCCTTGTGCCCTCCATCTTTCCCAGCATCAGGGTCTTTTCCAGGGAGTCTTCTCTTCTCATGAGGTGGCCAAAGTCTTGGAGCCTCAGCTTCAGGATCTGTCCTTCCAGTGAGCACTCTGGGCTGATTTCCTTCAGAATGGAGAGGTTGGATCTTCTTGCAGTCCATGGGACTCTCAAGAATCTCCTCCAGCACCAGAATTCAAAAGCATCCATTCTTCGGCGCTCAGCCTTCTTTGTGGCCCAGCTCTCACCTCCATACATCACTACTGGGAAAACCAGAGCTTGAATTGCTACTCGGTCCTAATCAATAAAAGCAGCGGCCAAGCTGTGCTCAGGATGGCTCTGCGTTGTTCCGTGTTCCGCTTTTACGGATGGTGATGTCACCAGTCGCTGCTGGGCGACCTCGGAACACAACGTCTGCTTGAGAACCTGGCTTTCTGCTCCAGTGGCGCCAGCAGGGAGAGATGGACGTCACAACCAAGCCCCACCAAGCCCCTCCGGCGATGGCCGTCTACGCCGAGAAACACAACATCTTCCAGCTCATGCAGAGCCTGATGGAGGACCTCCTGGTGTATCAGCCTGAGGACCCCATCAACTTCATGATCGCCCACCTGAAGAGGGACAACGACGAGGTGCCCAAGATCTTCGTCGTGGGGCCTCCAGCCTCTGGGAAGACGACCATCTCCCGCTGGATCTGCAAGCACCTGAGCGCCACGTACCTCTGTCCCCAGGACCTCATGCGCAGCAAGCTTCTCAAGAGATCCAGCGAGGCCATGGCCTTGCGGGATCAAAAGAAGCAGATCCCCAATGATCTGTGGGCCGCCCTCCTGGAGGAGCGCTTGAACGACGTGGACTGCATCAAGCTGGGCTGGGTGCTGGACGGCTTCCCCGAGACGAGGAGCCAAGCTCTGGTGCTACAGTCCACGGGCATCGCCCCCCGGCACGTGGTGGTCCTCTCTGCTCCGGACACCGTGCTAATGGAGAGGAACCTGGGCAAGCTGCTGGACCCGCTCACCCAGGAGGTCTACCACACCACCTTCGACTGGCCGGTCGACTTCGCCGTCCAGAAGCGCCTGGTGAGGCCGGAGGGCGTTTCAGCACCAGCCACGGCCAGGCGCCTCCTGGAGAGCCACCGCAACCTGCCCGGCATCATCCAGGCGTACGAGGGGTGCCACAAGGTCATCAACGCCGACCAGCCCTGCGTGGACGTCTTTGCCCAGGTCCTGAATTTCGTCCAGAGCCGCCCGCACTCGGACGCCCCCTTCAGCCCCCGAGTGCTGCTCCTAGGTCCACCCGGCTGCGGCAAGAGCCTGCAGGCTGCTCTGCTGGCCCAGAAGTACGGGCTGGTCAACATCTTCTTTGGTGACTTGCTGCGGGAAAAGGTGGCGGCCAAGACGGCGGTGGGCGAGCTCATCAAGCCCTTCTTTGAGAGCGGCTACCCGGTCAGAGACAGCATCGCTCTGAGCGTCCTCAAGGACCGGCTGTCGGAGCAGGACTGCCTGACCAACGGCTGGGTGCTTCACGGCTTCCCCCGCGACGTGGACCAGGCGGACCTCTTCAAGCACACGGGCTTCGAGCCCAACCGGGTCTTCTTCCTCAACCTGCCCACCGAGGTGGCCTTGCAGCGCATCTGCCAGCGGGCCACCGACCCCGTCTCGGGGGAGAGGTACCACACCATCTTCAAGCCTCCGGCCGACGAGGATGTGCACCAGCGCCTGCGGCGGAACCCCAAGGACGCTCCCAGCCTGGTGGAGAAGAAGGCAGACATCTACAACCGGCAGGTGACGGAGCTGGAGGACTACTACGAGGAAGCCATCTTCCTGAACGCGGACCAGGACCCTTACACCATTTTTGAGCACATTGAGAGCTTCCTGGTCAAGCCGCTGCCCGTCCAGAGGAGGTGAGCGATGCCAGATGCCGGCAAGTCTTGCACCGTGGGAGAGAGCAGCCGGGGAGGCTCAGCAGGGCAGGGGAGAGATCGATATTTGTAGAGTTAAGAGAATAAAAGTATTTTGGCTTCGAGTTGGACCTTGTTTCTGTTTCATTTAAACATGTGTCTGTGGCTTCCTGGGCTCCAGGGTATTCTCCCTTCTCCTTTCTCCTTCTCCCGCAATCCCTCATAGCTAAGTAAGATTGTCTTCCATAAACACGGTTTTAACAATGAGTCCGTAAGTGACTGTGGAGGCCAACTCCGGATCCACACGTCCTTCCACAGTGGGACCAGTGGTGAAGCTGCAGGCTCCAGTACCAGGGGCAGAGAGCAGACGGGAGCATGGCTGGTGTGCATCCCGGGTGCCCGGTGCATGGGGGGTGCGTGATGCGTGTCTGGGGGGGTCGACCACATTGATACCCCCATCCCCGATGGTGCCGGAGCAGTGCGCTCCCCTTGCCCCCTTCCTCCACCACTGAGTGGGGCACAGGTTTCCGGGCGGGAGTTAATCCTGGTGAGGGTTTGCCAAGCGTGCCTTCCTCTTAACACATTTCTCCCTTGCGTCCTGAGTTCGAGTGTCTTCAAAGCACATGACACCTTTGGGAAAGGCTGTTCTCCAACTGGGGCGCTCGCAGGCCAGTGTTTCCCAGTTGTTGGTGTTTATACTACATTTTTAAAGATTTGCCTTGAGACGGTCTTTGAACCTCTTTTGTTGACCACCAGCATTATGCTTTCCATTTTTAAGTTCAGAATAGAGTAGTTGCTTTGGCAGACGATAATCGGGCATCCGCACAACATGACCAGTCCAACAAAGTTGACGTTGAAGAATCATTGCTTCAACACTGGTGATCTTTGCTTCTTCCACTACACTGGTATTAGTTCGCCTGTCTTCACTGGTATTAGTTCGCCTATCCTCCCAAGTGATGTGTACAATTTTTCGGAGACATGTCTTGTAGTGATCTGCTCTAAAAGTTCGCATCTGTTAAACTATGGAACTCCCTCCAGCAGGAGGCAGCGATGGCCACCAAGCTAGATGGCTTGAAAAGGGGATTAGAAAGATTCTGGCTGTGAGTCAGATTTTGGCTCTGCTCTCCACAGCCGGAGGGGGCAGTGCTTCTGAAAACCATTTCAGGAGGGAAGAGTTGCTCTCCTGCTCGGATCCTGCTTGTGGGTTTCCCACAGTCAACAATTCATCCACTGTGGGAAGAGGATGCTGGACTAGGTGGGCCATGGGCCTCATCCAGCAGACTCTACGTAGGTTCTTAACCCCTGGGCCAGCCCTCGTCCTGCAGCAATCCTGGCCACGGATCGACCAAGCTCCTGCGAGCCCCTCCATCCTTTGGAGCCTGGAGCTCAGGTGAGCATCTTGGGACCAACTCTTCCTCCCTCCCATCTTCCCTCGCCTGCCTCTCTGACACTCTCACCTTGCTCTGGGGTCGGGTAGGAGCCCCCAGGTTGCTCCGCAGCGCTGCCTGTGACGTTCCACTTGGGAGGTTCTGGCGGCAGCGTGGATCCAAATAGGCCTGAGGAGAGAAGCGGAGAATTGAGAGGGGCTCGGGGGCGCTGCTCCCCTCTCTCCGTCCCGCCACAAGGCCACCAGGCACCTAGACCAGTGCCAGACCCTCCCAGACACTTGCAAAGCAGCTTAGAAGTGAAATAAAAAACTGTAAGGTCTTATATATAAAAGATAAATGTTCATAACTGCATATATAAACCACATGTCTGAAACGCCACAGAAAAAGTCCTGAAACCATTTTGTCCCTCCCAAATTGACCTCAAATATTTCTCTGCAAGGTCAAAGGAAAATAGAAAAGCCTCCCCATTGTCTTTTTCTTCACAAATCCTGCCTTAAGGCTATGTCTGTGTATGAATAGGGTGAGCCTGTGACCTGGATTCAGGAACTAAGTATTTATCATTACAAAAGACTGGCCAGGCTCCGCAGGGTATCCAATCAAGTAAGCATTAACAGGTATCCTGCCAGACAGGAGGTAAACAACGCACTCAGATTTCTGTTGTAGACCACCTTTTCAGTGATGTAGGTATGATGTTTCTGGGGGTGGTCTTGAGCTCCAGGGCAGGCAATTTAAAATGTCTATATAAGGGCGGACACACCTTGGTTCTGGGTCCTCCTCCTGCATGTGAGGGAGCACCTGTTGCAACAGTTCAATAAAGATCAAGCTTACAAGCTGCTTTGCTTCTCAATATTCTCTGGTTGGCCTCTGTTCTTTTCTCTGACCGATGGAGAACCTACAAAGGACTCTATATGGGCTCCCATGTCCCCCATAAGGGAATAAGGCCAGATTTTTGTTTAATACAGAACTGTGGTGTTGGAAGGGACCCCCAAGACTCATCTAGTCCAACCCGCTACAATGCAGGAATCATGGCTGAAGAATCCCTAAGGAATCCCCTTTGTCTGGCCACGGAGGAGATGCTTCTCTACTCTGCCTGGCTCCATCGCGAGAGAGGCCTTGCTTCTTGCCCGCTGCGCCACGGCAGGCCTGGGCAAAGATGGCTGTGCCACACAGCCGAGCTGGAGAGGGAGCAGCTGCTTCAGGTAGAGCCTGGCATGGCCAACGGCTGTCAAGGGATCCTAGCCAGGATGGCCATGCTGTGCCCTCCTCAGCCGGAGGCTGTGACGCCTCTGCAGACCGGCTGCTGCAAACCACTGGAAGGTGCGAGTCGATATCTGCCCTGCTTTTGTTTCCCTGGGATCTTCCAGGGTTCAGCGTCATTCTGTGCCAACTCAATGGAGGCTGCTTGCTGTCCCACCAACCTCTCTATTGGAACCCAGCCAGCCCCCACCTGCCCTGCCCCCTTTGCAGCCAGTCCAGAGGGTGGCACGGCCTAAGGAGGAGGAGGAAGAGGAAGAGGAAGAGGAACATGTAATGGTTTGGCTCTGCTCTGGTGCCCCCTACTGTTGGCCTCCCAGCCTCCTGCCCTACCCCTCCCAAGGTGTAACAAAGGAAATCCCCTGGATTGCAAAAATAGACAAACTCTAAACAATCACAGGGAAAACATGGCTAATAAGAATCTTAGTCACAAGTATATTTCACAATTTTTAAACGGAAAATTCAGTTGAAAGCCTTGTTTGCCTCTGTGATATTATTTGACTACTTGTTTTAATTTGGTGCATGCAATTTTGATTGAATTGTACTATTTGTGACTCCATCATAGTTTAGAGGTCCCAGGCACTAAGGAAGTCAGACTATCCTCCACCAGGGCCAGGGACTTCTCAGTGATGGCTCCAACCTGGTGGAATGCTCTGTCCCCTGAGACCAGGGCCCTGCAGGATTTAACCTCCTTCTGCAGGGCCTGTAAGACAGAGCTATTCCGCCTGGCTTTCAATTTGAACTTAGCCTGATCTTTTATTCCCCTTCCTTCCCTCCCCCTCCCCCTTTTATGAAGATTACCCGCTCTGGGATCCCACAGCTAATTCTCCCCTGGTCTCCTCACTGGCCCAAATAGGACTAATTTAGCCAGCTAGACCTGGTGATCATCTAATGTTTATTGGATGGATTTCCCCCCTAAATTGATTTTTGAATTCTGAATTTATTGTTATTCATGTTTTATACTGTATCTTATGCTGTTTTTTGTTGCATCAATTGTTTTAAATTTGTTGTTAGCCGCCCTGAGCCCAGTTTTCTGAACCGGGAAGGGAGGGGTATAAATAAAAAATTATTATTATTATTAATCATAGATTTCCTGTTTTAAAATTGTGAAATATACTTGTTACTAATATTCCCTCCCAAGGGGCACCAGCCACCCATAAGAAGAGCCTGCAGGATCAAGCCAAGGGCCCATCTAGTCCAGAGACCTGCTCTCCCAGTGGCTGACCAGATTTCCCAATGGGGAATCTGCAAATGGGATCCGAGCGGAGCAGCAACTCTCTCCAGCTCTGAGCGACCGAGAGGCAGAGCAGAGCTATTGAAAGCCTCTTTTGCCCCATGAATTTCTCCAACCCTCTTTTTAAAGCCTTCCAAATGAGTTGGATGTCACTGCAGCAGGGAATTCCACAGTTCAACTCTGGAGGAACTCAGCAGGGAGGCGGAAGATGGGGCGAAGCTAGGAGGAGGCACCTCTTCCTAGTCATGGGCTCCAGCGCCCCCTAATGTTGGCCTCCCTCCCTCCCCTTGCAACAGATACTCACCCGGTCCCCCCAGTTTGCTGGCAATCTCCGAGATCCCCACCCGGAGCCCAGGGAGCAGCGGGTACCGCCTGGCAGCGCCGCCACTGCTGCTGTTGGGTGCCAGGCCACCCTCCTTGCCCAGCCCGGCCGTCAGGTCAATGTCGATCTTGAATTCCAGCTCCTTGCTGTCTTCGCCCACGGGGGCAGCCAAGGCCTTCTCCGTCAGCCTGGGCCAGAGCGTCAGCGGGTGCTGAGGGGTGGGTCCGGGGCCCGGGAGGTTGGGGTCAGCGGGTGCCAGGGGGCCACCCCAGGCCCACTCCCCCGGCCCAGGGGGGAGCTCCTCAGCAGGGATGCTAGCCTGCCACCCGGAGCCCCCCGGGGCCTCTGCCCAGAAGCGACTGGCGCCCGGCGCCTGGGAGTGGGTGGAGGCAGCTGGCTGGGCGGGGGGCTTTGTGCTGGCCGGCCCCTCACCCGCCCGGCCCTTGCCTCGCACCTTGATCTTGAAGTTGAGCCCCAGGTTCAGGGACAGACCAGGGGCTTCGCTGTGGGTGGGCAGCAGGGTGGGGGTCACCGGTGGGGGGGTGGGGGACGTGCCGGGGGCCTGGAGCCCATGGCTGGAGTTGTTGTCGCTGAGCCCCGCTGGCAGGCGGGGGCCGGGAGGCGTCCCGGAGCCCAGAGGGGGCAGGCAGAGGAGGAGCAGGAACCTCCACATTGGCCTCTGTCGCAGGCTCTGTCTGCCGGCCTCTTGCAGGTGGAACCTGGAGAACGGAGGGGAGAGAAAGAGGGTCAGCAGGATGGGGAGAGGGAGTGAAGACGTCGAAAGAGGGGGCTGGATCTGGCCGATGGGCCAACAAGGCTGGCATCACAGTGGGCAGCCACAGACGGGGTGGAGGAAGGTGGGTGCGGTTTGCCCTGGGTGTCACCTCTGAGGTGTGTGAAGAAATGCTGTGTGGCATTGAACGTCTGGGAGAGACACTGTGGCTTTGGTGTGTGCAAAAGGCTTTGGGTGTAGGGTGGCCGGCAGACTCCTCGTCGCAAGGTGCATGATCTCTGCAAAAAAAAAGCTCAACAACTCTGGTTCCCCTCCAAAAAATATGAAATAAAATCAAACCATTTTTGCAGGCAAAAATAAAACAAACATTTCAATGTGTATGGGGGAGACAAGAAATTTTCCACACCGGGTACCACCTGACCTTGCTATGCCACTGGCCACAGAGGTGGGGTTAGGGGCATAGCTGTCAACTTTTCCCTTTTCTTGCAAGGAATCTTATTCGGAATAAGGGAATTTCCCTTAAAAAAAGGAAAATGTTGACAGCTATGGTTAGGGGACAGCAATCGCTTTGCCCACTCTAGGCACCAAGTTAAGAGGGCAAAGCAACGATTGTGGGAGGCATCGTGAAGGGCGCTGCTGAAATCTGAAACCCCAAAGTCCACCACTGGCAACCAGTTGGCTTGCCCCGGGTGCCAAGGCGAGCGGGGGACGGGGGGGAAGGTGCTGCAGGGCTCAGCGATGATGATTGATTAATTAATTAACTTTGAATACTACCCTCCATCCATAGGCTCCAGGGTGGTTTGCAACATAAAATCATTTAATAATAATAATAATAATAATAATAATAATAATAATAGTATTTATACCCCGCCCACCTGGCTGGGTTTCCCCAGCCACTCTGGGTAGTTCCCAACAGAATACAGTAGTACCTCGGGTTAAGTACTTAATTTGTTCTGGAGGTCCGTTCTTAACCTGAAACTGTTCTTAACCTGAAGCACCACTTTAGCTAATGGGGCCTCCCGCTGCTGCCGTGCCGCTGAAGCACGATTTCTGTTCTCATCCTGAAGCAAAGTTCTTAACATGAGGTACTATTTCTGGGTTAGTGAAGTCTGTAACCTGAAGCGTATGTAACCCAAGGTACCACTGTACATTGGTACCTGGGTTTATGAACTCAATCCATTCCAGAAGTCCGTTCTTAAACCAAAACTGTTCTTAAACCGAGGTGCACTTTCCCTAATGATGCCTCCCGCCACCAGTGCCCTTCCACCATTCGGATTCTGTTCTTAGACCGAGGTAAAGTTCTCAAACCGGGACACTACTTCCAGTTTTGCACGTAAACAGAATTGTTCATAAACAGGACTGTTCTTAAACCAAGGTACCACTGTATTAAAAACACAATAAAACGTCAAACATTAAAAACTTCCCTAAACCGCAAAATTCATAATAGAAATAAAAAGAAAAGCAAACCGAGTCCCCCCCACACACCCAGGACATTTAAAAGGGCATCAGATATCCATCAGCCAGCGGCCTGGTTGGAGATGAAGGTTTTCACCAGGTGCCTGAAGGCGTTTGAGGAAGACGCCAGGTGATCCTTCCTGGGGAGAGTCGGGAGGGGGAATCTCTCTAGAGCAGAGGTAGGGAAACTAAGTTCTGGGGGCCAGATCCTGCCCAATCGCCTTCTCAATCCGGCCCACAGACGGTCCAGGAATCAGCTTGTTTTAACATGAGTAGAATGTGTCCTTTTATTTAAAATCCATCTCTCTGTTATTTGTGGGGCAGAGGAATTCGTTCTACTTTTTTCAAAATATAATCCAGCCCACCACAAGGTCTGAGGGACAGTGGACCAGCCCCCTGCTGAAAAAGTTTTCTGACCCCTGCTCTAGAGCACCACAACTCCTCTCCCTGACCCTGGAGTCTGGTCTGATCCTTATCACCTCCCCACATCTACCTGCGCTCTCTTTGGCTGTTTCTATGGCATGATCTGGGGGTTTCCCGTGCCCACGCCTGGCCAGCTCCCCCATTTGCCCTCCCGACCACCCTCGGAGGCCACAGGCGGAGAGAAAAGCAAACCCCCACCTCCGTCCCCCTTCGCCACCAGTCCTTGGGCCAGATAATCCCTAGCAAGCAAAGCGAGTCTAGCGGAATCTGGAAGGAGGTCAGACTAGACTTGCCTGCAATTAAGGGGAGGGTTGTGGGGAGATAAGAGCAAGCAATAAACAAACAGGGTCATTAGGTGCCCCCAGCTATTGCAGAAAAGGACTCCTTGACCCTCAGTAAACTTATGGAAAATTTCAGGCAGAATTCCCTATGGGGTGGGGCTATGGCTCCCCTTTTGGGAACTGGAGCTCTGCCATCACTTATCACAGATATGCACATGAGGGCAGCAGGAAGAATTCCCCACTTTCTGGGCTTTTCTCCTGGATCAGTGTTTCCAAAACTTGGGTCTCCGCTGCTTTTGGACTTCCCATCACCCCAGCGCCTGGTCCTGCTAGCTAGAGATGGTGGAAGTTGTAGTCCGAAAAACAGCAGGAGGCTTGGGTTTGGCAAACCCTGTCCTAGAGGGACACACGGTATCACCCCCGAGCATTCATTCCTCACAGGCCATAGAATCATAGAAGGGACCCCTGGGTGTTATCTAGTCAAACCCCCCTGCGATGCTGAGATCACAGCTCACAAATCCCAGACAGAGAGTCAAGAGGTCATCTCCTTTTCAAAAGACCTACATTGGCTCCCAGTATGTTTCTGGGCACAATTCAAAGTGTTGGTGCTGACCTTTAAAGCCCTAAATAGCCTCGGTCCAGTATACCTGAAGGAGCGTCTCCACCCCCATCGTTCAGCCCGGACACAGAGATCCAGCAATAAAGGCCTTCTGGCGGTTCCCTCCCTGCGAGAAGTGAGGTTACAGGGAACCAGGTAGAGGGCCTTCTCAGTAGTGGCACCTGCCCTGTGGAACGCCCTCCCACCAGATGTCAAAGAGAACAACAATCACCAGACTTTTAGAAGACATCTGAAGGCAGCCCTGTTTAGGTAAGCTTTTAATGTTTGATATATCGTTGTTGTTTAGTTGTTTAGCTGTGTCCGATTCTTCATGACCCCCTGGACCAGAGCACGCCAGGCCCTCCTGTCTTCCAGTGCCTCCTGCAGTTTGGTCAAACTCATGCTGGTAGCTTCGAGAACACTGTCCCACCATCTCATTGTCCCCTTCTCCTTGTGCCCGCCATCTTTCCCAACATCAGGGTCTTTTCCAGGGAGTCTTCTCTTCTCATGAGGTGGCCAAGGTCTTGGAGCCTCAGCTTTGATGCATTACTGTATTTTAATATTTTGTTGGAAGCCGCCCAGAGTGGCTGGGGAAGCCCAGCCAGATGGGCGGGGTATAAATAATAAATAATTGTTGTTGTTGTTGTTGTTGTTGTGATGCTCCCCAGAGAGTTGGCCCTGAAACATCTCGCCCTAATTCAACGGGCAAAGTGGTCGGAACTTCCTGGATAGCTCGGTTGGTTGGAGTGTGATGCCAGTCACAAGCAAGGTTGCAGGTCCTGTGACTCTCTCTTTATGAAGCCGGGTGGTCCACGACACCCACACACCCACCCCTTGCCAACCCCTCCCGGGGAATCCCATCTCTTTGGGAACCCCTGGCCTAGGGAATGGTGAGCTCCATTGCTCTAACTCAGAGTAAGGCAGCTTTCTGTTTCCAACAAGCCAGAGTTGTGTCATTTGCTTCTGGGGCGGGTCGCCCGGCACCCCCACCCCCGATCACCACACAGCCTGGTGACCAAGTTAGAAAGCGGATCCCGTCAGGCGCCCAGCGCCCTCCGAGCTCAGTCGGGGAGAAGCGTCCCGTGCAATCGATGTGACAAGAGGACGAGGAGACGCGGGAGGTGACGGTTTCCGCTCCAGCGTCCCAGTTGGAGCAAGGACGTGAGGAGCGCTCCCTCCAGCGAGACGGGATCATGCACGAGCGCACAGCGCACGCAGCCAAGAAGAAACTACCCTCCTGCCACTCTCCAGTGAGAGCGGGACTGTGGCGGGTCGTCACTGTCACCCAGACTGAGCTGAGCTGGCGGTTGGAGTGCGCTGGGAGGGAAGCAGGAAGACAAGGCAAAGTCACCAAGTCTCGCCCCGTCTTGCACAGACTGCTCCTCTGAGGCCGGCCAAACTGCCTCGCTTCTGTCCGGAAAACCCTGCCTTATAGTGAGCCAGACCAGTGGTCCATCTAGTTCAGTATTGCCTGCTCAGACTGGCAGCGACTCTCCTGGGTTTCAGGCAGACACACAACCCCTGCCTTAACTGGAGGAGGAAGAGTGAGCCGCCTGCGTCCAAAGAGGGGCTCTTCCTCTTCCCCAGGGGAACCTGGTGTTTAAAAATCCCAAAAGCCTGAACGATGGAACGTTCCTCGACTATGGGCTTATCCACACTTATCTTCCTTCTACGCCAGAGCTTTAAAATGCAGTGCTCTTTCTTTTCTCTGGAGCCTTCCCTGCAGAAACCTGCTCTTTAAAGCGGAATCGGAACAAATGGCAATCCATGGGCAAACCAAATTGCCATACAGTGGTACCTTGGGTTACATATGCTTCAGGTTACAGACGCTTCAGGTTACGGACTCTGCTAACCCAGAAATAGTGCTTCAGGTTAAGAACTTTGCTTCAGGATAAGAACAGAACTCGGGATCCGGCGGCGCAGTGGCAGCAGGAGGCCCCATTAGTTAAAGTGGTGCTTCAGGTTAAGAACAGTTTCAGGTTATGAATGGAACTCTGGAACGAATTAAGTACTTAACCCGAGGTACCACTGTATATATATTTTTTGCGATTCTGCTTTAAACAGCTGGGTTTTTTTCCAAAAGAGAAAGAACAAGTGGACACAGAGCTTTAAACCTCTTATTGAAGAAGCCATGCCTTTGGAGGAAACTAGGGAACTTGCTCCCAAAGGTGGCAAGAGGAGGAGGAGGAGAGGGCGATCGATGGCTCCCAGGCACCATGGCTCTGCTCTGCCTCTGTGGTCAGAGGCAGTGAGGCTTCTGAGTGCCAGTTGCTGGAAGCCACAAAGAGGTGGACAAGGGAGCGCAACCAGTTTGAAACCCCAAGGTCTGCCACTGCCACAGGAGGGGACAGGGTTCTTGGGCTGGAATCCTGTTTGCAGATTTCCAACAACAACGACAGCAGCAGCAACAACACCACCCCGCCCATCTGGCTGGGTTTCCCTAGCCACCCTGGGTGGCTTACAGCATATATCTAAACATAATAAAACATCAAACATAAAAAACTTCCCGACACAGGGCTGCCTTCAGATGTCTTCTAAAAGTTATATACAGTGGTACTTCTACTTATAGGGATGCGGGTGGCACTGTGGGTTAAACCACAGAGCCTAGGACTTGCCGATCAGAAGGTCGGCGGTTCGAATCCCTGCGACGGGGTGAGCTCCCGTTGCTCGGTCCCTGCTCCTGCCAACCTAGCAGTTCGAAAGCACGTCAAAGTGCAAGTAGATAAATAGGTACCACTCCGGTGGGAAGCTAACGGCGTTTCCATGCACTGTTCTGGTTTGCCAGAAGCGGCTTAGTCCTGCTGGCCACATGACCCGGAAGCTGTACGCCGGCTCCCTCGGCCAATAAAGCAAGATGAGCACCGCAACTCCAGAGTCGGCCACGACTGGACCTAGCTGTCAGGGGTCCCTTTACCTTTACGTCTACTTATGGATGTGATCTGTTCCAGGGTGCCATTTGCACCCCGAAAAGTCCGTAAATAGAGTGCCGCTTCTGCATGTTCACATGACGCCATAGAGCGCTCCTGCGCATGTGTGAAGCACACAGAATGCTTATGTGCATGCACATGTGGCGAAACCCAGAAGTATACACTTCTGGGTTTGCCGGGTTCACAACCCAAAAATCTGCAGCATGAACCTAACGCAACTACAGGTATAACTGTAGGGTTTTTTTATCTCCTTGGCATCTGGTGGGAGGGCGTTCCACCGGGCGGGTGCCATCACTGAGAAGGCCCTCTGCCTGACTCACTGTAACTTCACTTCTCACAGTGAGGGAACCTCCAGAAGGCCCTCAGCACTGGACCTCAGTGTCCTGGCTGAACGACGGGGATGGTGACGCTCCTTCAGGAGTGTCTTTTTAACCGCCATGAGAACAGAATGCTGGACTAGATAGACCAATGGCCTGATCCAGCAGCCTCTTCTGAGGCTCTTTGGGGTATTCTGCTGCCAGCTGACCTGCCCATCCTTGCCTCTTTGAAGAAGCACGGCAGAGCTCAGCCCTGGGCACTTGTGCCCTGACAAGCTCTCTTTCCGCAGTGTCGCATCAGTGCAGTCGCAACACCCTTCCTGAAACCGGCTCGGCAGGGATGTGAAGAGACAGGGCCGAATGCAGGCTGGCACCTCGACGGCACCCTTCCCCGAGGGGGCCGGTCAGCCGACAGGTGTAGAAGCAGGTCGTCAATCGGGCTGACAGTCCTCTGCCAAGCGCAGCAGTTCCTTGCGGAGCGGGCGGAGGCCTCACGCGGACGACACAGTCTGGACGTGCCGTGGTGGGGGCTGGGGAGGAGGGGGACACACACGGCTGCTGTGGTGCTGGGTCTGGCAAGCACTGCAAGGACCCACGCTTCCCAATCGACGGCACCCATTCTGCAGCCCCTGTTTGACGCGCCATCAGCCGGCAGCCAGAGAGCAACCCAGCGCTTTTGGCTCGGGTGCCTGAATGAGCCCAGAGCTATGGGTACGGGGGCACACATGGGTGCAAGAGGGGGCCAAGAATGATCAGGGGCCAGTGCGGGATTTGTTGTTGTTGTTTAGTCATTTAGTCGTGTCCGCCTCTTCGTGACCCCCTGGACCAGAGCACGCCAGGCACTTCTGTCTTTCACTGCCTCACACAGTTTGGTCAAACTCATGCTGGTAGCTTCGAGAACACTGTCCAACCATCTCGTCCTCCGTCGTCCCCTTCTCCTTGTGCCCTCCATCTTTCCCAACATCAGGGTCTTTTCCAGGGAGTCTTCTCTTCTCATGAGGTGGCCAAAGTCTTGGAGCCTCAGCTTCAGGATCTGTCCTTCCAGTGAGCACTCAGGGCTGATTTCCTTCAGAATGGAGAGGTTTGATCTTCTTGCAGTCCATGGGACTCTCAAGAGTCTCCTCCAGCACCAGAATTCAAAAGCATCAATTCTTCGGCGATCAGCCTTCTTTATGGTCCAGCTCGCACTTCCATACATCACTACTGGGAAAACCACAGCCTAAACTATATGGATCTTTGTGGGCAAGGTGATGTCTCTGCTTTGTCTCTGCTTTTTAAGATGCTGATTTAAGTGCTAGATTTACCTGTAAGCTAAACAAGCTCTAGCTTAGGGCCCCTCTCTCTTGGGGGCACCCAAAAAATTTAAAGGGAAAAAACTGGATGTACATTTCCAAAATATAAGATAAAAAACAAATAAAATGAAACCTACATACAGCAACCATGTTTTGTGTTGTGCAGGCTCCTGTGATGTAAGTCATGGGCCTCGCCTGCTCCCTAAAATATCACTGGTTTGCTCCTTTCTATATATAGGGTGCCTACATTCTGCATGGACTGGGTGCATGGCAACATGGGCAAATGGCTTGAGATATCTACAGTGGTACCTCGGGTTACAGACACTTCAGGTTACAGACTCCGCTAACCCAGAAATATTACCTCAGGTTAAGAACTTTGCTTCAGGATGAGAACAGAAATCATGCAGTGGTGGCGCGGCGGCTAAAGTGGTGCTTCAGGTTAAGAACAGATTCAGGTTAAGAATAGACCTCCAGAATGAATTAAGTACTTAACCCGAGGTACCACTGTATTAGGTCCATCAATGACCATCTAGCATCTATTCAACACAAAAACCAGTGACAATTTGTTGTGGACAAAGGGCAGCTGGACATATCAAGGGCCCCATTACCTTCAGGAGCTGAGGGCCGCATCAAATCTGGCCCTGATCAGGGGCAGTGACTTCCCAAGGAAGAAAGGCTGCAGTGTTTGGGACTTCTTAATTTAGAGAAAATGTGAGGAAGAGGCGACATGGTAAAAACTTATAAAGTGATGCCTGGTGCAGAGAAAGTGGGGAGAGGAAAGTTTTTATCCAAGACCAGGACTTCTAAGCGTGCAACGAAGCTGAATATTGGGAGATTCGGGACAGATAAAAGGAAGTCCTTCTTTACACAGTGCATAGTTGAACTGTGGAACTCCCTGCCACAGCAGACAGGGATGGCCACTGACATGGATGGCTTTAAAAGAGGATGAGACCATGGAGGAGGAGGAGAGGGCAGCCCCTGCTTCTGAGTGCTAGTTGCTGGCAAGCGCAGGAGGGGAGAGGGCTGCCTGTTGTGCTGGAGTCCAGCTTGCAAGTCCCATTAGGCTGGCCATGGAGGCATAATATCCAACTTTCATCTTAGGAAAGTTTATGGAAAACTGATTTGAAATTTTCGGCAGGCTGTACGCTGAAAGAAAATTACAGTCATACCTCGGGTTACAGACGCTTCAGGTTGCGTTTTATCAGGTTACGGACACTCCGAAACCTGGAAGTACCGGAATGGGTTACTTCTGGGTTTCGGAGGTCACGCATGTGCAGAAGTGCTAAATTGCGCTTTGCACATGTGCAGAAGCACCGAATTGCAACCCGCGAGTGCGCAGACGTGCCGCTGCAGGTTGCAAACGTGCATCCTGCATGGATCACGTTTGCAACCGGAGCGTCCACCGTATATGAAAATGGATTACAGAAAAAGATGCAGTAGGAAAGGTTTAACAACAGAACCCATGGAGGGGAAGTCCAGAGATTCGGACGAATCTTTTAATTGTGGATATGTGTTGTTGTATTACTATAATTTTATATTTGTAAAACCAAATAAAAATTATAATAATTATTTTTTAAAAAAGAGCGCGGTGGGGTTGTTGGAGTCGAGGGGCCATGGGCCTCATCAGGAGGCTCGTCTCATGTTCTTACGGCCGAAAGCAAGGGGGGGTGTCTTGCTAGCAGGATTACACATTGCACCCCATCCGTGGATGGGTAGTTGGGTACCCAAATGGATGACAGGCGGGTCATAAAGTGTTTTAAACAATGAAGAAATGATCCAATAGCCCTCTAAAGGCTCACTAAACATTTGCACATTTCTTCTCCATGCTTAGAAAACTCGTATTGCGGGGTGGGTGGACTAGATGGCATTTGGGTTCCCTCCCAACTTGAGGATTCTCTGCTTCTGGGATTGAGGCATCAACAGGGCCCATTAGAAGCTGGGAGGCGCTGAGAGGCAAGGGGGGGGGAGCCAACGCCCCTTTCAGATCTTTGTAGATCTCTGCAGGGCTCCTCTTATCTCTGGCATGCAGAGAAGCCAGGAAGTCAGGATTCTTTGCCTGAGCCCATGACCTATGGCTGACCCGGGGGGAGGGCAGAAAGGCTTCTCCCTGGAGCACCCCAAGTCCCCTGCCAGCCACACCTTTGAGGCACAGAGGGCTGCCAGAACGGGCTGCTGCTGCTGCTGCTGCTGCTTCTTCTTCTTCCTCTTCTTCTTCTTCTTCTTCTTCTTCTTCTTCTTCTTCTGCGATCCCTCGTAGTCGAGGAAGATTGTCTTCCATAAACACAGTTTTAGCAGTAAGTCTGTAAGTGACTGTGGAGGCCAGTTCTGGATCCAGACGTCCTTCCACAGTGGGGACATTGGTTTCTGGGCGGGAGTTGATCCCGGTGTGGATTTGCCAAGCGTGCCTTCCTCCTAGCACGTTTCTCCCTTGCATCCTGAGTTCGAGTGTCTTCAAAGCCCATGACACCTTTGGTCAAGGCTGTTCTCTAAGTGGAGCACTCACAGGCAAGTGTTTCCCAATTGTCGGTGTTTATACCACATTTTTTTAGATTTGCCTTGAGAGAGTCTTTAAACCTCTTTTGTTGACCACCAGCATTACGCTTTCCATTTTTAAGTTGGGACTAGAGTAGTTGCTTTAGAAGACGATCATCAGGCATCTGCCCAACATGACCAGTCCAACGA